GAAATGGACATTGACCAATTTTTGAAAACAAATGGACTACAAAAAATCTCTCAAGAAAACAAACTAATGTTGAACTACAAAATAACGGAGCAGGAGGTAGAAGGGGCCATCCAGAATGTGCAATTGGGTAAATCTCCAGGACCAGATGGTTTGACCTCAAGATATTACAGATCTCTGAAAGAATGGTTAGTACAGCCATTAAAAGAAGTTTGTAATGAAATATTGGAAGGGAAAAGGGGACCAGAGTTGTGGAAGGAAGCATATATCACACTTATACCGAAAACAGAGTCTGAGAAGACACAGCTTAAGAACTACCGCCCCATATCTTTGCTTAATGTGGATTATAAAATTTTTGCAGACATTTTGGCTAAAAGATTTTAAAAAATACTAAAAGATTAAAAAAAGAAATTCATAAAGATCAAGCGGGCTTTCTCCCGGGCAGACACTTGTCTGATAATACAAGGAACATAATTAATATTCTAGAAAAATTACAAGTGAATATTAACACTAAAGCAGTTTTGATATTTGTGGATGCGGAGAAAGCCTTTGACAACATTTCCTGGAGTTTTATGAAGAAGAATTTACAGGGGATGGGGGTTGGTCAAGGTTTTGGAAATGGTATAGGTGCAATTTACTCAGAACAAAAGGCTAAATTAATTGTGAACAATGTAGTGACGGAAGAATTCAAGATAGAGAAAGGAACACGACAAGGTTGCCCAATCTCCCCATTGCTTTTTATATCCGTCTTGGAGGTTCTCTTAAACATGATTAGAAGGGACCAAATGGTTAAAGGTATACAAGTTGGAGCTAAACAGTACAAATTGAAAGCATTTGCCGATGATTTGGTATTGACATTACAGGAGCCAGAATCTAGTACTAAAAGAGTACTGGAACTGATTCAAGAATTTGGTCAGGTAGCGGGTTTTAAGTTGAATAAGATGAAAACTAAGGTTTTAGCGAAAAATCTAACAGTGACTGAAAGAGAGAGGTTTCAGAAGGAGACAGGATTAACACTGGTTAAGAAAGTGAAATACCTAGGGGTTAATATGACTGCCAAAAATGTGAATTTATTTAAGGATAACTATGAAAAATGCTGGATGGAAGTGAAAAAGGATTTAGAAATATGGTCAAACCTGAAGTTATCATTGCTAGGCCGAATTGCTGTGATAAAAATGAATGTATTGCCAAGGATGCTGTTTTTGTTCCAAACATTGCAAGTTTTGGATAAAATGGATTGCTTCAAGAAGTGGCAGAGAGATATTTCTAGATTTGTCTGGCAGGGCAAGAAGCCTCGAATAAAATTTAAGATATTAACCGATGCTAAAGAAAGAGGTGGATTTGCCCTGCCAGACTTTAAACTTTATTATGAATCAGCTGCGTTTTGCTGGCTGAGAGAATTTTACAGAAACATTGTAAAATTAAGGAATGTTAGAAGGATGTTGGAATGAAGTAATGTGGTTTTAGCAGAGATGCTGTAAAGGACTAAGAAAAAACAGATTGTTAAATGGTGAAAGGAGGGAAAGTAAAGTTACATTATACTAAGATAAAATAGAGGACAAAAACTGGAAAAGATGGAAAGGACTTGCTGAAATAGCTAATTGATCTATAATACAAAAAAGGGAGGTGTGAGGAGGTCAAGGAAACAAGCAAATGAAAGATAAGCTATGGGAAGATTCATTGTATATATTTTCTTTTTTTTCTTTTTTCTTTTTTCTTTTTTTTCTTTATTGTGATGTGATGTTCTGTTTTTGCTTAGTATGCTGTTTTCTATTTTTTTCTTTTTGTAATCTTTCAAATCTTAATAAATATATATATTTTTTTTTAAAACACACACACCTTCAGTTGGGAAGATTGAGTGCCAGCTGCGTCAATTTCTCTATAAGAAGGTGGGAGAGCTGCATTAGAATCCCATTAAAACTTTTTTTCCATCTTAAAACTGATCTTTCCATCAATCTGTTCATGGGTAAGTGGTAATTTTTAATTCCTCCCTAGTAGATGGTGAGTGTGCAGGTGTTATTTTGTGTGCAAATCTCTGTTGCCTGCCAAAATGGGATCAGAAAAGCACAAATCATGTCTAATATCACCTAAAAGGCATATCTGAACTCATTTTTACATACCTTTGAAGTGTATGTGCTGAGCTTTGATGTCACATAACAGCTGCTCGTTTACCCACATCCCAATTCTACCCCCACCTCAATTAAGTTTTGTATTGATTTTCAGGATAAATTTATGACACTTCAAAGAGCAATTTTTTTAAAAAAAAAATGTCTTGAAGGAATACTATTTACTGGTATGAAATTAGAGAGGGACAGTTTTCCTAAAGCCTTTCTTCAACAAAATCTGACCCCTTCACATGCATAGCTAAATAAGACAGTGTGGTGTGGTGGAGTTGGCAGATAAAGCATTACATCCAAAGTATTCCATTCAGAGATTTTGATTTAGCACGGCATCTGAAAACTAGCAAAACATTCTGGTTGCATATAAATGGACTAAAGTTACAGCTCTGTCAGCACCCAAGTGCTAAAATGTCACAGGTTATCAAAATGGTGAAGTTAACAGCATACATGCAAATAAGGGGGGGGGAGTATCTTCAATGGGTTAGTCTTTGTTCTTAAATTAAGATGCAGAAGTATGTAATGTCTCCCACTATTTAATAATTCTGAATTACCCGTTCATGAGAGTTCTGCTATCATCCTTTCCATTAGCAATGCATGGGGGTAGTTTCTGATCCCTACACAGCACTATCTAAAAAGAAGAGGGAAATATCAGCATGCCTGAAGGAGGAGGAGATTTAAGAATCAAAATTGGGAGTGGTTGTTGAATCCTGCAGAACCAGAGGAGAACAGGGCCCCAGATACTCAGGTTCACAAAAAAGGCTCCCCACACTACTAGGTTGATCAACAAATGACATGTTAAACTATTTATAATGTGGATACATAAAGGACCACTAGAAAGCACACAAGTATAAAATATTCTCCAGTGATACTTAATGTTTTCATAATTCTTTTAAAAAGTAGCAGTGTTTGCTGACCCATCAGCATTACCACCCAAAGCTCTTTAAGGAACACTGGAAGTTAATCATAGTCCTTGCTTATTAAGGTAGTCAGCAGCAATCACATTTAGCTTTCCTTTGGGCTACCAAATACAGCACCTAATTGTTGTTCCTGTGAAAATGACTGACACTAATTATATATCATCATTTCTGGGAGGACATATGCCCTTCAACTGCCTCCTATTTGATACACACAGAATTGTCCTTGTTCTGATGGCTGCAATTTAGGAAATAGAAAACATAGTCAGCCATTAAATATCAGGTGGGGATCCTCATTCCCTTTGATTTGAAAGGTGCCGACACACACATGGTTCCTTTATGCTTTCCAGAGACATACACCTTCCTAAACTGTTCTGCTATTTATGCCTGTCAGATAATAAACATACCAACAGGGACCTACGGAGTCAGGACCTATAGACCTGATTAGTCATTATCCTCAACAACCAAGAAGGACTGGAGGAACCAGAACCAGCTATCAGGCAGAAATCAAGCGGCAAACAAAGGCCGGAGCACCAAGAGAAAAGTACTTATCACGATCAGGCAGATGTTCAGAGTCTAGAGGTGGCAGAGCAGGAGAAAAGATAGGAAGCGCTGACATTTCTAGAAAAGCTACTCTGTAGGATAAGTTGCTCAGGGTCAGGGCAGAACCCACAGGGTCAAAGCAGGACCATGGATAGCTCCAAGTTAGCAACTTACTGTAACCAAGGACAAAACTCAACTGATACAGGTATCTCCCCATTTGTGTGCAATCAGCACTTGTATTACACAATTTTCAGCACCACAAGGGGGTGAGGGCAGAACAGGGTGGGGTGGGCTTACTGCTAACATGTCCAGTGTCTCAGTATGTAAGCCCTGTGTAAATGGGGACTTGCCTGTACTTTAACAATTCTCTCATTAGCTCATTTCTCCCAAGTTCTATCCTCTTGGCCTCAATACAATGGCACTTAGTGGAGCAAACCCTAGCCTGCAGACATGAAATGATGCTGGAAGCTATTCTATGCTGCTGACCATGACTCTGAATACCATTTACTCACAAGAGTAACAGCTTAATCATTATTTTATACACTTCCCTCTGCCCAGATCCTTCAACAATTTGACAAACAATTGGGCAGCTGGTAAAATCATAGTATTGGGTTAACTAAAGGTATAATAAATTATTATTGTTGTTGTTGTTGTTGTTTGTTTGTATGCCACCCATTTGACTGAGTTGCCCCAGCCACTCTGATGTTTTAATTTGTTGGAAGTTGCCCAAACAAAGTAAAACATCAAACCTTCCTAAATTAGAGTCAGTCGCCAATACTTGAAATAAGTGTGTCACACCTTACATGGAAATCAGACCCACAAGCTACAGTTTCATGGAAGGAAAATATATGTGATTGTAGCAGTGTCGTGTTGGCCCTATGTCTAAAAATGCAATGCTATTATAAGATTAAATATATGAGAAAATATTTAATGCAAATAGATTGAATGACTTTTTAATGATTAGCTATTAAATATTTAAGCACAATCTTGCAGCATTTTGGTTTTTTATTATTCTCAGTATGATCTTCAAAACATAATAGAAATTTCTAGGTAAGAAGGTGATTATGCATAATAACTAGTAAGTGTTTCTCCTCATAATGCTGGAAATAATTTTATTATTGCTATGCACTTAAGTAAAATAGCAAGCTTAAGAAATGAATGTTTTCTTGGTACTCCAACTTGGAGCGTAATTTGGATGTGCTATTTAATCTATTGTGTTTCACAGCAGCAGTTACTACTGCCAAATTATATAATGGAAGATTGATCTACCCATAGGATGTGCTGCAGTCATCTTCATGGTGTTAAATAGGTTCACAGTGTCTTCCATTGCACCCGTATGTGGTTCTATGGCAGAAGGCACACCATATAAAAAAACCTACCCATTTCCAACTCCCAAGAAATATTGCTCTTCATATATAAACACTTTTAAAAATTCACTGTGTTTCAGTTAAAGTAGGGTATCCAAATTCTTTTCAAATTTTACTTTAGGTTGAATGCAGAGATATCTAGGACTGCCAATCCCATTGTTCCAGTTGCTCTTCCCCTTAATAAGAACCCCCCCATACTTTCTTAGGCACACTGTTGATAGCAACATCAGAGGCTTACCAAGCAATCTTATATATACTGACCTTTGAGTCCCATTCAATGGGGCTTACTTCTGAATGGACACCTATAGAATTGCCCTGCTAATTGGTGTGTTTAGAGTGTTAGTTACAAGTTAGCCTATATTTAAAATTCTCTTTCGACCCCCATCAAGGATCAAAGTTGTAAAAAATACTAGTAGTGTTTGTTATTTTAAGAACATGCTCTACATTTTCAGTTGGTCCCGTGCCCTTGATGGTTTGACAGCTATACTATAAATCAAAGAAATTCATACCTAAAGCTAGCCTTGTTCTAATAAGTTTTCAGTGCCTGCCTGGTAAAGTTTAGAAATTATAGACCCAAAAGTAGCACCACGAAAGTAAAATGGAACTGAATCAGTTTGCATATAAAACAGCATCTTGATAATAAGGGGAGGCGACTATAATTCTTTACATAAGGCAGTATCCAGCCGAATGTAAGCACTTTAAAGCCCCATTGAGTTAAACAAGAGAAATTTAGGAATGTTCTAAAACCTACAGGCCTATCTATGCTTATCTAGGAAAACCCACTGAACACAGTGAAACTTATATCTTGCTCTACATGCAATGGATTGTACTCTAATGCTCCTGTTGAAATCTAAGGCCTATAGATTGTTCTGTAGATACATGGGCATTAAATGCAACATTCCTGTGTTTTTTTAAGGCAATAAAGACAGATTAACATTTTTTTCTAAAATAACCCTAGAGATAGTTTAAGAGTAATGCTTGTTAGCAAATCCCGTCCTCCAGCAACAGCTGACTGTACTGAAAGTCCACAGGAGGAAAATCAGTTCAACTCATGGATCACACTTGCTGAATTATGTCAAAGGACATTAGAGGTCAAATGGAGCCTGCAATAAACTGTTACAGTGCTCAAGATTCTAGCTATTCCGTGTTATCCCTCTCTGCTTTTCCACATACGATAGACTCAACAATTGGGGAACATTTTTGTACTATGAGGTTCCATCAAACCTCCTGATTCCTCACTCTTGTGTGTGGGTGGAGACATTTTGGCTACATCAGCAATGACATCCACAGAAACAGGGGGTTTTTTTAGTAGAGAGTTCTATTGAATGTAATACCTCTGCTTAGGATTTGCTTGACTACAGAGATAACTAGAAACTTTAAAAAAAATAAAAAATCACCGCATCATTTTACCAAATACATATGCAGGCCAGGAACTGGCATGTTAAATTTTAATTAGATGATCCAGTTGCCTAAGCCTACAGGAAACTAATTTTATAAAAGAAGCGTAGAATGTCTGAAAAGGCATGCCCTCCTTATAAGTGATCTGTGAACATGAAACTTTTTTTCTCTCGGCAGCCTTATTATAGAAAGTTCCAATTAATGTCTTACAATTTCCGTAAACAATCATATTAAACTCTGCTTGCCATGCTAAAATCACAAGTGTTTTTCCCCTTTAGGCGATAGATGATCTTAGCACTTGAACCTGCCATATTTCTATTAGACAAGAAATAAACCTCATGCATAACATTGTTGAGTTTTTAATTGAATTTCTTTATTGAAGACAATATTGTACAGATGTTCTGTACCGTCCCTGAGCATGTCCTTTTGCCATTTTTTCTGCTTTTTAAAAGCCAAAACAATGTACATTGTTATAGAAGCTTGAAGACAGGAAACATTCACTATACCCATACATATGGCAAAGATTACTGGCAGTGGATTTTTAGCTTGAACATTTTTATGGATCTAAAATGCTTCTTTGATTGATTGATTAATTGATTGATTGATTCACTGTTTGTCTCAAAGTGACTTACTGTAAAAAAAACAACAACAACCCAAAACATACAATGTACAAGATTGAAAACAAAGATTAAAGTATCAGGAAGAAGAAAAAAATAGAACAACATTCATAGTGCAAAGGACTCCTGAAATACAACCATTTTAAATCTCTGGACCACCGAGAAAAGCTCATTGCATTGACGATGCAATGCAAGAAGCAAAGAGCATCTTCTTAACCCCCTTCAGTGCTACTTACTAGATGGGTAAGTGCTCTAACAAGTGCTTGGTCAGCTTCAGAATTAGTTTTATAGCACTTATGCTCTAGCCTTCTCTTGGATTACCCCACTGCATTGGAGTGATCGTGCTGACATACCCTCCAACATTTCTCCGATGAAAATAGGGATGTCCCATTCCATAATGATCATTTTACTATTTATACCCCACATGTCTTACTGGGTTGCCCCAGCCACTCTGGGAAGCTTCCGACATATATAAAAACATAATAAAACATTAAACATTAAAAAACTTCCCTACACAGGATTGCCTTCAGATAGCTCAGGAGTCAGATAACTCTATACCCTCCAACATATATTCAATGAAACTAGGGACATCCAAAGGAAAAGTGGGACATTATGGGATCAAATCAGAAACTGGGCCTGCTTTTCTAAATCAGGGACATCCCTGGAAAATAGGGACACTTGGAGGGTCTGTGCTGATAATCCGCCTCATGTTGTCATTCCACAGTGAAATGAGTGCCTATGTTCACCAAAACCCTCCTTTCAGTAGCCTTCTCAAGAGGCATACTAAAACGATAAATAAACACTAAAAACAAGTTACATTGAAAAAATATAAAGTTACATTAGTCCAAAAACAAGTTAAATGGAAAAATACGTAGTTACATTAGTCCCCCAAATAGCCCAAAGCAGGAGCTGAATGAGGCCTTCTTCTGTTAAATTTAAACGGTAATTATTTTTGTCACAAATTGCTATACTGCTCACCTCACAATGCCCAGTCCCCATATAACCCATGTTATTTCCTATTTAAACCTACAGACAAAACAAACCCAAAATCTTCCAGGATAAGCAAGTCTGAAATAGGCAGATCTCTGGCTGAGCTGGAAGAATCTGGGCTCAGCTGGAAATACACCAGTTTAGCTGGTGGTCAGTCACTTCAGTTGAAGCTGGCTGGAGTTGGACCAGCTTAACTCCCGAGAAAGGGTGTGGTGGTGGACAGGAGAGGGCAGGGGCAGACTCACATCTATCCCAAACTGCTTTCAGCATAAGGGGGTAACATACACTGTCTTAAATTAGGCTAGTGTAACTTCTACTGGTTTCCTTTAGTTAGGATTACTCTGCCAATGGAGCTCTGGAAGCAGCAACCACTCAGCACAAAAGTATGTATTTTATCACAAAGCTTCTTATGGCTTCCTTCCTACCCACCCTCCTGCAATCAAATTAAGCAATAAAAACTGTGTTTTAAAGGTCACAAATTACTAGGAATTATATATCTGGCATTTGGTCAAGTTTCAAAATGTGTTTACTTTACAGCACTTTCCCTACATTCCCTTCCTGAAATCTTTCCTCGTCATTTTAATTATTGGCTCTAACCACTGTCTGTACTAGACATCAGAATTTACATATAAAGTGCAGCCCCCAGAGCTCTCATAGAGCATGTCCTGATCAAAGCATTTATTTTGCTATTGATTCCAATGTGAAATGACTTGACAACTCTGCTCTCAGTAGGTAAGCATTTGATGCTGTTTCGAATCATATGTATTCAGTCCCCTCGAGCAATACTAGACTACTCACAAATTTCATTTGCCCAAGTCCTGATCTTATTGAGTGTGGCAGGTATAGAATAAGTGACCCAAGGTGAAATGATTGAGAATGAGGGAGGAAATTGTTTTGGTGTTTTCCCCTGAAACACTTGCATACAATTTTTTTTTTTTAAAGGTAGTCCCATCCATCACAGCAAAGTTCCCTATACTGTTCTGGAAGATTTTGTAGTGGAATGGGTAAATTTGTTTGATTTTAAAGGTGTAACAAAAAATTCAAAGTAGAATGATAAAGTATTTTTAATGTAAGGCCAAGAATAGAGGGTGCAAAGACATGTTCTAAATCACACAAAATGGCACCTGCTTCTCCTAAAGTAGTGGTTTTGGTAGGCATGGAGATGAATTTAAAGGAGCAATTACACCTAGCTTACTTTTCTTAAAGCAGTATTAATTGAAATGTTGAATGTTAAAACTTGGCCTTTTGGTAACTAGGTATTTTTCATTGTTCTCATTCGTCAGCTCTATATTGCATATGAAAATGTATAATAGCAGTGTTCAGTAGAAGTACATTTCAGTCTCCTAGGACAATCTGCTGCTGGTCTGAAATTCAGTATTCTCCAACAGAGATTTCAAAGGCAGAGTTCTGCTCTCTGAATTTTCTTTTGTTTTAAATTGTGATTTCTTTCTTTTGAGATGTCATTCAATAGATTTCTTTACAAGTCATTGTTACAAGAAGGAGGTCGGGCAGTTTACATGAGACCAGTGACCTCTCTGCATGCTCAAAAACCGGAATTTTACTAGTGGGAAGAAAAGGGGAAGTGATAAGTGTGATGGAAAGAGCCTCATTCTGGACACATCCCATCACTGATGTGGAAGGGAAAGAGCATCAAATACAGTCTCAACCACAGGTAAGTGACTGCAGAAGTGCATAAGCAACAGCACATTTTTGCACTAAAAATGTCACCCAAAAAACAGTGCAGTAGTGCTGTAAAAGGTATGTTTGGACGAGCCCTAGATCTGGGCAATGGTAATTAAGGGTCTAAAATAGCCATACTTTTTCAAAGCAACAAAATAAAATTGAAGTAAAAATGTTCCTGACATGTGCTAATGGCAATGTTCGTTTCATTCCATCTTTTTAAAGAGATTGTTGTCAGTCTGTTACAAAAAGTGAAACACTCCTAAAGAAAAAGTTTCAAGGGAGTGAATCAGACTTAATGATAGTTTGCTTTTCAAAAGTTTTGTCCACAGACTGATTGCACTTCCAAATGTGAACACTGGCAGATCATCAACTTTACTTTCAATCTCCATAAAACTCACCTTGCAGAGTGCTACTGAAGTCTTTACATCTGTGCCACCAGTTTTTGAGGGCTAAAAAACATACAAAAAGAACTGAGATTTTTCCACAGCTTATGGCAAGGCGCCATCACACAAAATCTGTTTTATGAAGATTAGAAAGTAAGGTAAGCAGCTTTTACATCGGGGAAAGTGTGTTGATTGGTGCTTACTTATTTTTCTTTATGCAGGTACTTTATCATCAACATGATGAAGGTGCTGCTGGCATTTAAGGGGAAATGATGATGTACGTAGCATTGTGCATTCAGTATGATAAAACGAAAACAGCATTGGCTCTTTTAAAGTAATCTGAAGCTTGCTACATTAGTTTTAACAGCCATTTGGAGTCCCAGAGCAGTTCTTATCTTTCTTGTTATTCCTATCCCAAAGCCTTAGAAACCCTCACTAGTCCAGATCCCAAGCACTCCTGTCCCTTTCTGAGTAGTGGCTCCACTATATTATCCCTGTATATAAAGTACTACAGTCCCTTTGAAGAATCCAATGTGGCAGAGACTTTATGCAGTAGGTTGCATATGACAGAGTTGTTCCCTGCATGAATTGCTCATTTGCAGATAACTTCCTCTATAGTGGCCAGCTTTGATCTGGGGTTTGCATGGAGACCAGGCCTCCTGGATGGCCTTCCATGTTGATTGTCATCATGCAAGGCAATGTTTACAACAGGCTTGGGAAACCTGTGTCCCTCCAAGTGTTGATGCCCCATGACCCCCAGCCAGCATGGCCAATGGTCCAAAATGATGGCATCTGTAGTCCAGTGATATGTGGAAGGTCACAAGTTTCCCATGCCTGGTTTACGAGATCAGGGGAATCTGAACTTTGAGTGGTATCTATATTGAAACTTCACTGTACCTCAGTTCAGTTTCGGACTTTAAAAGCAAAGACCATCCAAAAATCTAACTGTGTCTGAGTAAATGCCATAATATGAGAATCAGGCCTAAGGCTACCTTTCACCATATACATCAATGTTCATTATATATTTATAGTCAGATCCAAATAATGGATCATCAATATATATTTAATGGTGACCACTGGCCTCCTGATTTATGCCTAATATTCAATAGTATAAAAAATGCTCCAAAAATTGGTCTTAAAGCTGAAAGTAAGTTGGTTTGTCCTTGTAAACTGCCTTGATGAGAAACCAAGTGGGAATGGCTTCAGCCACAGGAGACCAGTGGGTGAACTCAACCTTTCAGAGAAAGGTCAATAATAATAATCTATCCATTCATACGTATATTGCACATCCTCTAGCTTCTTTTAAAGAAGATGCTGCTTCAATAGAGTGCAATCCAATGCTGTAGGTGTGGGTTTGTTCAGAGGACATTTTCAAGCTATGTTCTGGGGCATCTGAGTGTTGCTTGGCAGCTTGTCAATGAGTCATCATTGGATGAAAACTTCTCATCTGGCTCATGACAATGTGGTTCATGTGTGCAAGCAAACAGAATAAGCTTACTTATTCAGCAGTTCAAACCATTTCTACCTAAGAAGTAAACCCTATTGAATTTGATGTGGGGTTTGCAGCCTTGGCCAATCATCCTATTCTCACTTATGTGAGAGTAAACTCTGCTGGAGACAGGGTCACCTATGACTGAGTAATTACGCACAGGATTGCTGTCTTAGAATATAACATATATTTAATATTTTAATAGAATTGACCTTATTATGCCTTCAATATTAGTGTCATGATGTGTGTTTTTTAACAGCAGGATTTTTATTTACAGTAGCAGGAAGCCAGTTTACAGATTTTTCATATATACACTTTTTAAATAATAAAAAAGCCTTCTGCTTTTCATTGCCTTTTTCAGTTTTTTAAAATGTTAAAAATGTTGTGGTTCAAAACAAGGAATGATATGTGTGGCTGGGTCTACTGCTGTGCCTTTCTAATGAGAATTATTCAACATATAGTAGGGAAAGTTGTACACTGGTAGTATGTCAAGGAGAAAATGTCCTTTCTATATATGTTAGAGGACTTGAAAAGTTCATGCAGATAGATGTACGTTCTGTGTTAGACCCTTGGCATAAGAAAACACACACACACAAATGCTGAAACAAATGAGCCTTCTATGTCACAAAAAGAGTGAGGTCTTTAATAAGAAAAGCAAATGGACTAACAAAATTGTAAACATCATTGAACAGCCCTAGGTAAAGGGGAAGGTGGTTGTGAAGTGGCATTTAGGTTTCATTGCAGAAAGGAAATATCTAACTGGCTGGAAAAGCTGTGTATGAATACATTTCAAACAAAACATTTCCACTGTTATGGTTTGTTTTAATATTAAATAAATGTGCCAAGAAAGGAAGGAAGGAAGGAAGGAAGGAAGGAAGGAAGGAAGGCTACAGAAAAGAATAGCTGTGTATTTATCGGTCCCTGGCAGATATTTATCTGAATACAGGAGGGATACAAATATGTAGCAAACCCTGTGCCCAGGGGTCTCCATACCTGCAGAAGCCTCTCAGAGTTTTGTACATTGAATCTATGCATATTCAACTGTAAGCACTGAAAATCTTCTTCAAGACTAGGAATCCTGATAAGGTCAGATTCCCAATCAGATGCATGTAATTGCATCCAGTGAAAATGACAGGGAGCCCCTCTTCAATTTTCATGCTTAACATATAAAGGTTTGAGAGGAGACTGCAGCTGAGTAAACAATAGGGGAAGGCTTGAGTGCATGCTTCAATCTTCAGCATGATCCCTTGTGTGCTCAGGACAACACCAGCAAGTACTCTAGTGCCCTTTCCAATCGGAGATGAAGGCACCAAAATACATGTTCAGTTATCCACAGCGAGAAATGTTGTTCTCAACTTAGAGTGCTATTTTTTCCAGAGCTCAGAACTAAAGGTGAGAGATGCGTTTGGATTGATCACAGCATGATGCCTTTATATTTTCCTGCTGCTGCAAAAAGTTTTATCTGTCTTCACAAAAATATATTAACTGACATGCCACTAGGATCTAGCACGTAATGCATTAAAAAAGAGAGTTTTGTTGGACCACACTTGCCAACAATAATAGGCTTAAAATTAGGTTAATCAGCTCAGTGTTTCATTTGAATTTAAAATTTTAATTACCTTGTGCAGTTTCATTACTGCAGGGTGAAAAGGGTGGAAGGGAGGGAGCTGTGTCATTTGCAAATGTTAAAAAGCCAAGATATTAGAATGCTTAGGTTGAAATGACTCCAAGTTTATCAGCAAGAGGACTAATAATCTCTATCACATATGAGACCCAAAGAAGAATTTGTATTTTGTATGTGGTCATCCATATGTTCTCTACTACTATTCACAGTGAACCACATTCACTCTTGGCCAGTTTTGAGGGCCAGTATGTCATTTGTACACTTCTGCATTCACAAATAGGCACATCGGCCCCTCAGCTAATCTGTGCAGGTCAGCCAAGGAAAAGGTTATAGCCCCTCTCTGCTCACCAGATTATCAAACTGATGCCCATGAAGGGACACTGGGCACTACCAATCCCCACGCTCTGTCTATTTTTGTATTCTTCTTTTAGCACCTGCTGCTATAATTTGGGTAGGGAAATATTGTTTTACCAGGTCCTTGAAAAGGAAGCTAGCCGCCCCTTCTTTAAAGGCTTCTTGACTTGCCTTTTCCCTACACTAAAACGCCTTAATGCTGAAAGCTTTCCTCATAGGGCGATTTCTCCAACCCCTTCATCATTTTCTTTGCCCTTTTCTGAACCTTTCCCAAGTCTACAATATACTTTTTAAGATGAGGTGAGCCGAACTATATGCAGTATTCCAAATGTTCACACCATAGAGTTACATAAATGGCACTATGATAACAGTAGTTTTTGGCTATAAGCCGCATTTGTTTGACTTTTTTTTTTTTACGATGTTGGTAGCTTTGTTTTCAGTTCCTTTCTTAATGATTCCAAGTAGTGAATTCACCCTTTACACAGCTGCCACACACTGGGTCTTGCTATCCTCTATGACAGGCTTTCTCAACCCCGGCCCTCCAGATGTTTTTGGCCTACAGCTCCCATGATCCCTAGCTAGCAGGACCAGTGGTCAGGGGTGATGGGAATTGTAGTCTCAAAACATCTGGTGGGCCGAGGTTGCGGAAGCCTGCTCTATGATGTCAAAGTCATGTTTCTGGTCAGTCACTGCCAGTTCAGACCCTATTAGCATATATAGTGTGTGAAATTAAGATTTAGCCCTAAGTCTTATTGTTTCAAGGATAGACATCTAAGAACTTCTTGGAACCCTCACCTTTACATGAATGTGTACTGTTTAAAAGTTACAACTACCTTGTCAAGAATGGGTGAGGGGAGGCATTGAGAATAATTTTATTGAATACAAACTAATAATTGTAGGGATCAATCCATTTTATGTGAGCCAATAATCTATTTTAGCTTCTCTTTTGCCCTTTTCAAACATGCCCATCTTAGATAAGGTCTAATTTATTTTCCCAGCCTTTTATAATTGCTTTATTTTTACTATCTTCTCTGGGGGTATATCGTTCTGGAAATTAGAAATGTCTTCTTCATCCTTTCTGTGATATCTTGAATGATTCAATTTCATATAATTAGATTTTAAACACCACCATGTCTTTAGTGAAATTTCTTCGATTCGGCAGAAGCAGCCTCTTTTGTAAGACAACCTGTGCTTCCAAGATGTATTAAAGATGCTTGATCTTCATTCATCGTTCTGAGTTAACAAAAAGATTCAGTGCAATATGCAAACTGTAAAATAATAAGGATGCTCTTAAAGCTGGATAACTTTATAGATTCCACCCGCCCCCTGCCAAAACCAGACATCTCCACACTTAGGGGATAATAGCTGATGGAGAAACAGACCTCATCCAAAAACCACAATCAAGCTTTGAGATCCATAAAACACATTTGTTTGTTCCTCAATTATATATAACTCACGAAAGTCAGGATCACTTACATTTCCTTCCAAGGAAAAAAAAATCAATTCAAAGTCATTAATTCATTTACTCTGCTATATCAACACAATTTGCCAAACACCAGACATCATATTAAATGCTTTCTTAATCTTTATTGTTCTTGTTATTACAATGTGGTATTTTCCTCTCCAAAGAGGTTTGCTTATATAGTAGTACTGATAATGTTCCAACTCTGCTTTAAATTTATAGCCCC